GCTGAGCATGTGTCCTACTTTACAGAATCATAGAATCCTAGAGTTGGAAGAGACCACTAGGGTCATGCAGTTCAACCCCTGCCAAGCAGGAACTCAAAATCAAAGAAGACAGTCCTCTGTTTGAAAGTTTGTTAGAAAACAGTCCTCTGTTTGGTAACATCCTCAGTTGGATTTCACCGTTGGATGTGGGTCGCATGCCGAACTTTGATATGCTCTTGATGGTCACAGAGCACATGTAGTCAGAAGCTGGAATGAATTGCCAGCTGTAACAACATGGGATTATACATGTCTGTGGAAAATCAGCCTTGAATTTCACTCATAAGCCACATGCGATTAAAAAAAACCTCCAGGTTGTCTGTCCTTCTTTAAAACAGTTACAAGCTTTCACTACAGTGGGCCTTTGGCATCCGCTGGGGTTTGGTTCCAGGATCCCTGTGGATAGCGAAATCTATGGCTGCTCAAGTTCCGTTAAATACAATGGCGAAGTAAAATGGTGTCCCTTATATAAAATGGCAAAGTCAAGGTTTGCTTTTTGGAATTTGTATATTTTGAAAATATTTTCAAGCCGTGGATGCTGGAATCCATGGATACAGAGGGCTGACTGTACTACTACTTCAAAAAGTAGCTTTCTGGTCCTCAAGACTACAGAGATGGATGGCAGTTACAATGTGTGTGGAGCACTTAGCGTAGAAGTAATAAGAGACCCCTCTTTCCATTTCTGGAGCCCCGTGTATTATAACTCGGTGTTGTGCCTTGTCATGGTTTTAATGGAAAATCATGTCTTGTTTTGAGGCTATAATTCCCACATATTAGATGGCACTGAAAGCTTAAAAGAAGAAGGGACCATGCGGATATACTTTTACAATGGAAGAGGTAGCCAGCAGGTTTTTTAAAAAGGACAAAGGCTCTTGGCTGTCTCATACCGAGTATTATAGTTAATCTGCCCCTGTATGAAATGGCAGTGGGCGATGCCTTGGAGTCAGTCTCTGGTTGGTACTGAATGCTGCAGTGTCTGAACTCCTTTGCAAAAATGGCTGATTCAAGTGAAAAATTAGATGCTATAAATAGATGCTTATTTACCTGCTGGCAGCACTGCTTATACTAAGTTCCTCTTGCTCTGCAGGTAAATGAAAGTGGCCTTTTGGGAAAGGGGGGGGGGAACGGAGTGGGGAGTCAGTCAGGCTCTTTCTAGATTATACCATTTTGCTGCTATATGTGACAAGACATTCCATCTTATTATTCATGCTTCGAGCTTAATGGCACCTTCCGTTAACGCTGCAGGACTGTTTTGACAGACTATTTGGCCAAGTCAGCAAGTCGGGTGTATTTGACCAGTCATTACGGAATAGATTAACTCTCCAGAGGGTCGTCAGATGGAATATTAAACAGGCAAAGTGACAATTAAAAAACTTGGGCGCCTAGAGCGGGAAGGAGCTCATCTATTAAAGATCCACTTTCAGACTTGTTCAAATAAAAAGAGCGTGGGTGCTCCTTTGACCAGGATGCCCTTGCCTGAGAGATGTGACTGAGGATTCTTGGAGAAAGAAATTGAATCGATAGGAAACCGACCTCTTAGACCCCACCAGTCTTGGGTCTCTTCATCACCCTGGCCTGTCTGATCACCATTAGCAATAGCCATTCTATACGGTGCCTTTTGTGGCCTGCTGCCATCCTGGAAAGGGATG